AGTATATGTGCAAGAGAGTATAGTACACGTACAAGTGTGTGTACAAATGTATACAGTACAGTCGGATATATGTACTCGGTTTGACACGTTGCTGTACACTTACACGGCTATAAACACGCCCACGCTCATCTCCACATACTAACGCATGTACGCACAAAGGAGTGGCGTTGACACTACATAGACACAAACGCATACGCTAGCCTGTATGCACGGACACACACAGTCGCTCGCGTCTTCACTCTGAATACGTATATACAGCCATACCCTAGATGACCAAACGTAAACCCACACACACATATCCTTATTGACACTGACACAGACACACATTCATATTTAAATTGGTACTCAGACACACACCCATTCATATCCACATTAACACACAATCAAACACATTCATATTCATATTGACACAGACACAGACACACATTCATATCCACATTGACACACATTCATATCCACATTGCTAGACACACACCTGGCACGCGTCCTCGATGGTGAGATCCACATCCTGACCCGCCTTGTCCATGAACAAGAGCTGCTTCGAGGGTGTGCAATCGGCCTCCATGTACAGAATGTTCTTCCTGTGATGACATGTCCACAGAACACCAAGTGATTAAGATGAGATGAATAGAATTGTACAGCTCGGTCCAGGTGGATACTGAAGTAAGTCATAGTACGGTTTAGTCCTGGCAGGTGTGTGTGGTACGGTTTGGATTATTCAGGTAGGTATGTATACTAAGAGATACCTATCGGGGTGCAGCAATCATTGGACTCCCTACGATAACCAATACAGAGACCGGGTTTAGGGTTTATTTGAATACCAAAACCTGGATGATATGCTGTTGGGATTGATCAGCGTGGTCATACTACGTGCGGTATACTCCTCTATGTAAAGGAAATGGATCCATGTATAACGCTTATAAGTTGGTTACCTCAGAGACGTACAATAACATTCCATGTACAGATGTTTTCCCTGCGATGACCGATACACAGACAGGGTTTAGGGTTTGTTGAATACCCTAAACCCCGGATGATGTGCTGTTGAGCTTGATCAACGTGGTCCTACTACAGGCGGTATAACCCTCACGGTATAGGGATTCAACACGATGTATAATGCCAAAAACAGTCCCTTTTCTTGTGCGGCTACTATGAGTGTGCGCGTATTGTACTATATACGCACAAACACCCCATCGTATGGCATACCTCTGTCTTACCAATACCTTTATCACAGCCACTATGAGCGTCCGTATACATACTATACTCACACATACACACCATACACCACACCCTCTGACTTACCCTGTACTGGTCCTCAGCAACGAGCAGGGTTCAATGAGAAACCCTGACCACGTCTGGGTAGTACCGCACTGTCCCTGATTGATACACACACATACCATACACCACACCCTCTGACTTACCCTGTACTGGTCCTTAGCAACAAGCAGGGTTCTATGAGAAACCCTGACCACGCCTGGGTAGTACCGCACTGCCTTTGATTGACACACATACATACCATACACCACATCTGACATACCCTGTACTGGTCCTCAGCAACGAGCAGGGTTCTATGAGAAACCCTGACCACGCCTGTGTGGTACCGTACTGTCCCTGGTTGACACTCCAGAACAACGGCGCTCGGTGTCTCAGACCACTTCGGCGCAGCACTTCATTCACTGTAAACTGTTGTAGTTCGAAGACGGGCATGATATGCTCACCCATGCGGTTCATGGACACGGTAGTGGTGTGGGAGCGTTTACCACAGAGTCTGTAGGTTGGATATACATAGAAGTAAGGCAAAGGGTTGGGTGATAGATATACGTGTGACATGCACACTCTGCATAAACGTAATGGTATAAATGATATAGTTGCGTGTGACATGAACACTCTACATAAACATAACGATATGAATGATATAGATGCATGTGACTTGCAACATAAACGGAACGGTGTGAATGATATAGATACAGTTATTTGTTTCGCACGTGGTAACGGTATGAATGATATAGATACAGTTAATTGTTTCACATGTGGTAACGGTATGAATGATATCGATACAGTTATTTGTTTCACATGTGGTAACGGTATGAATGATATAGATACAGTTATCTGTTTCACATGTGCACGCACTCGTGCGCTTCATATCGACCTGCAGGGTATGTCCACTTCACATCAACTGTACATCAGAGTGACTTGAGAAAGTAACATGCCGGCAATCCAACCCTCTGTGTGCCATAAACCTGGTATGAACTACCCAGCCACAGCCACAGCCACAGCCACAGCCACAGCCACAGCCACAGCCACAGCCACAGCCACAGCCACAGCCACAGCCACAGCCACAGCCACAGCC